TATTGGAGGTCCTTAATGACCTTTGTACAAGCAATACCCACACCTGGGTTCTCGTCTCTCTCGTCCCTTTCCCTTGTCTTGGCTGACGGCTGCCGGAGGACTATCTGATACCTTGAGTGGAGGGGGGTAACAGAATCGGTCATGTCTTGCCCCGTATCTGCGACAGGTGGGGGTACAGTAGGGCCCTCGTGTAACTGGCAGTGGTCCGAAACCCGTAAAGCCAGCATTGCCCCAAGGTTTAACCGGTGCCCTTGGCACTGGGATTGGTGGCCGGCTGCGTTGGCTAGAGGTAGCCGCAACAGGGACGGGAGTGCCTTGCGAGGTGGTAGTGGGACTAGGGGGTCTGTTCGTGGTCCTTTCCAGTATGTTCAATGTCCTTTCAATTCAATCAGTGAGCCCCGGAGACCCTTGTCTCATGGCTGGCCAAGGAGCTGAGATTGGTACTGGTACAGGCGTAGCTGCAGGAGTAGGATTATGCTCAAGAAACTATGGTGGGAGGTGAGGCAGTTTATGCTCAAACATGGAGGATGGAGGAGGATGGAGTGATTGAGTGACGGGTGATGGTACCAGTGTCACTGTAATCGAAGGAGAGGGTTCTCGTATGGGTCTCGACGGCTGAGGAGATACTCTCCGAGGACCTTGTAGTCTGGAGGTCCCTATAGGACTGACCAAGTGACTTCGAGACACCAATGCCGAAAGCAAATGAGAAGAAGAGGGAGCGAAGGAATGAGCAGCTTCGGATCCCTGATCCTTTAAGCTCTCCACAATCCTCAAACCTAACGGGCTCAATTGGGGTCGATACTTCTCGTTTCTTGCGTAGAGAGTCAGTTGCTGAGTAAAGTCCTCAGGCTTCTCCTTCAATAGGGGCACCGCAGGGACCGCCTCAATTATCAGGACATCATTGTCCTCGTCTATCTGATACCCGTCTGCCGCAGCCTTCTCCAACGCTTCCATCCGTATCCTCATCGTCTCTTCAAGTTGGTTCCTTAACAGGACGAAAAATGCCTCTTGTTGCCTCTTCATCCATCCGACCGACACGTCTATTATCTGTTTCTGAAAGACCTTCTGTGTCTCCTTATTCCAGTTATGGAGTTCCCCCTTTGCCAGCGTGATCTCCTGCATCACTTTCCGTAGGATATCGGGCTCGACGAAGTTACGTGTAAATTCTCCAATGGTCAATGCTTCTGCTTCGGGGTTGTCCTTCAGCACACCTTGTACGAAAGGTACATCGCTTAGAAACGACAGAGCGGCGATGCCAGGATCAGGGAGAACTAAATCTCGGCATTCGTTTGGTACTTCGATAGGAGTGGCAGCGATGAGAAAGTGAGCTGCCTCTCCTAGGCCGTGAGTGTCTGCGATAAGAGAGGCTCTAAAAATAGCAGCTTCCAACGGATTCTCGTTGAGGTCCAAGCTGCTATCCGTAGTCGACGTTCCTTCTTCGACCGCGGCTGGCAAAGCTTGAGTAGCCATCGTGGTCTTGTTAATGTCGGTTCCAACCGAAAAATCAGGAGGAGAGTTAAGCAAGAAGCTCGCGTAACAATATACTGTAAGGGGGGCTCCCTCAGGTAGATGGTTCCTAAGGATGCGACCGTACCAAACTTCGAATCTCTCGAACACATCTCTTGTAAAGTGTAAAGAATAAAAGTAAACAGTAAAACTTAATATCGTTAAGCTCTGGCTTATCTCAATTAAAGTCTCTCGAGAGGATGTTGATTGTGTCGGGGCAGGAGAGTTCTCGTATAAGCTTCAAGTAGTTAGACTTATACCAAAAACTCCCCCATCAGGTTGCCCTGACCAACATGAGCATACCCTTCTCCGTAAGAGTTGCTGGCACCATTACCGCATCCCAGAAGGGCTTAAGGTGTCAGCGCACTCTAGCAGAAAATCTCCCATATGCACATCAGTTCCTGCGAGGTGTTTACCAATATACCGGCCGGAGCGAAAACCTCTGCGCATCGGTGTCTCGTCAGTAGCTAACTGTCGAGACTCCTAGGAAAGCTAACTAAATGACTCTCTTCCCATGTGCTATGATCTATGCAAGCACCCGTAGACATCAGGTGTTCTCCGGTTAAGTTCTATCTTTCTTGATTGTGAACTTACGGGGTCTACGATGCTCCCACGTAGAGCTGTGTCGGTGGTGGGACCCGTGGGCACTACCCATTGTCCCTTACCTCCAGCACACCACTCAGCATAATAAGTATCATGCTATTAGAGTCTTCCAACAACCCATAAAGAGCCTACGACAAAGGGGCATGTGTAGGCATGATTGGCGTAAAACCTTCCCAGATGTCTCCGGCACTACCCGGGACTACCCTGGGGACCCTTCCGCATAGCTTACGCTAACTCCGTCGGTTTTAGTCCATTTTACTCCGTTCCTTTTAGAGAAGGCACCTGACCTTCTCACCTTGGCCCCCTTATATATCCTGCGAACAGCTTGCGGTCAGACGGACGGCAGCGATGTATACAGTGTTATGGACATGTCTTCAATGATTCCATTTAACTAGTAAGACGGCAACTCCACCCATTTTGGCCCATGACGCCCGGGGCGAACTCTGGGGCCGCAGGTACCTGTTAGGAATAATTCTGCCAAGTTACAGCATGTTCGGAGCACTCTAGCTCCTCCTGTAGTCTTCCGATCAATGAGCAAGCAAGTGCCCGTCGATCGTCATTGTGTAACAAACAATCCTAACATTACACGGAATCTTTCCGAGAACGTTTCCGATGGATGGTAGGGTAATAGTGTCCCAAAGGTTGGGTAAGTATGTTCCTGGTAACATGAAATTGGTCTCCATGGCAGGGTATCGTGACTTACCTAGACAGGGTAAACTCACCCGGCCTTCCGACCTATCCTGAGGCCGAAACCGATATAGTCACGTCACTTCCGCTACTTAGGTACACCTATATCTTAAGTACCTTCTGTTCTTCGGGATACCCAGACCATCGGGTAACTCCCGGACATGCTCAGGCATACCCGCCTAGTCTACCATATAACCTCTTAGCCTTATGTATGGGTGTAGACTTAGGTTGCCATAGCTCTATTACGCAGGGTCATTACACAAGTAAAACAAAATATAAAACAAATCACTGAACTAAATGGACTGAACTCCAGTTCCGATTACACAAACATTGTATTCTTCTGAGTATCTCAATACATTACAACCTTCTGGAGTTCTACCACATTCATTATATTTAAAAGTCAGTATACCAGTTATGCTTTTATGAAATTTGAATCCATGTCAAGGTCTTTGTAATAAAATAATACTTAAGATCATAGGTTTTTTATGAAATCTGATATAGAGTAAGTTTTATTAATTTATTCAATTTTTTCTAATTGAGTATATTATTATTAAGATTATACTAATATGATTTTAAATTTTGTACTTTACAGGTATTATAATGATAGGCAGAAAGGCTGAAACTGAAGTCATAATTCCTCAAATTTACATCTCTTTTCAAGAATTACAAGATATTTCTATAAACCTGATTCGACATCAGTTTCCAATTCAGTTTGTATATATAATAACTATGAATGAGGTACAGGGGTAGTCATTAGAACATGTTAGAATTAGTCTCTATAAGGAGGTATTTGGATATAAGCAATTGTATATTGCATTGTCAAGAGCAACAAGTAGTGAAAGGATCAAAGTATTTATATCTGATTCAGTATATGAAGGAGAAAAGTTGGGCAAAAATGTTGTATATTCTAAGGTTTTTCATATATAAGTTTTTCTATTTTTTCTTTTTTTTTAATATCTCTGCCTTTTCTACTTTATGATTTGATTGTTCTCTTTTATATTCTGTTTACTTTTATCTCCTACCTTTCTTATTTGTCCTCACTAAATCTGTCCATTCATCTTTTCATATAATCATATTTTCTCTTTTACTTTGATTATTTCTTAAGACATTAATTTTTCTTATTAATGGTTTTTTTTCAATATATATCTACCATTAAATTTTATAGGTAAATTGCTATTTATCAAATATAGTAATTACTTAAAACTACACTCTATTTCGGCCCCGTATGGTAACCACAAGGGTGACTATCTCCTATGATGATATTGATCACAGGAAAATGGTTGACGTTCATTGTAGATGGGATGGAGAAATACCCTGCTAGTGCATCATCGGAATCTGAAGTTAGAACGGATGTCGAGATGAAAAATCCCGACATAGACGGAAACGATGGTGAGGTGAGAGGAGCCGTTTGTGACTTCCTCCAGAAGCACTGAATGATGACTCCAGTCGCACACCGTTTTCCCAGACCTCGCTCTCCCGGATGAAATCCACCCAATGTTAATTTCTCACTCCCCTAAAGCCTGCCCCGTTGTCCCGGATAACCCGCTATCCCAGACAGATTCTTCGGATTCTAGTTACATTTTAACCATCTGGGACAGCGAGATGGGACTGCAAATGCAAAGAGAAAATTGACAGCCGTCACAAAGGGGGTTGGCCGTCCTTGGAACAAACAACGAAACAAAACAGCCACACAACAAAACAAGGACACACGCTCTCTGCCCAATGGCCTATCGTCCACACATGTGCTTCCCCATTTGTCTCTCCATCTGCATAATACCTGCTTCCCCATATCCTGCTTTTGGGATTATGCCACCAGAATCACGGGTGGTCAAGTGGAGATGAAGGATTCAATTTTATTTCCCAGCTTGTAAGAAAAGAAAGAAAGGAAACACAGTCACAGAAAGGGAAAACAGAAGGCAATCCAATTGAAAAAAAAAAGCTACTATTGAACGAGAAAAGAATGTAAAAGGGAAAAAAAGAAAACATAAAAAACAATGTCCTGGTACCGTGTGAACGGGGGAGCACTTCCAGACCCGAGCGTGCTGAAATAATGTATGGGCTGAGCTGTGATATCTGATGAGTTAATGGTAATCCATGAAGAGGAATATCACGAGCTGCAAAGGGTAGAGAGTGGCCAGAAATCGTGTCAAACTGCGAAGGAATAATCTTGCACTAACCTACCGGTACAAGACGGCACTTCCTAGTTAGCGCAGTATCTTGGTCACAATTGCTCCCCTCGGTGTGCCCGGCGTCTTAATAGCAGCATTAATAAGTCTCGTTTGTCCTTGAACTAAAACAGGCACCTCAACCGGAGCCCCTGCTGGAAAACCGGTGGAGACCTGTCGAGACGTGGCAGCGACGGACCCACCTAACATCTTGCGGCGAAGGTGCGGCGGAATATATCGGCCCCTGGATTCTGCCTCACGTAGCTTCCGCCGATTTCGGGCCTCCAAAAATCTCCCAAGACGTTGGGCTTCAGACACTTGCATATCATCAGGACTGAGCTTTGTTGTCCCATACGAAGCGTGCACATGCCCAAAGACATGAAGCATCGGGCGGACCCTCCAAAGCGCGTTCAGCAACCCATCACATCCATTCTCGTCATCAGAAAGGTACCCTGCGGGAGGCCCATGGGTCACGAGAATGTCAACGCCAGCAGGAATAATATTCCACACCGAGAAGCTATCATCCTCCGAATATCCAAAAGCAGTATTGGTCGATCTGGCCAATGATTTAGGTGATCCGAAAATCTTGAATGCACGTCCGGCAATTGTGACATCTGTGCTCTCATCTTCGAGATAGATGACTCCGGACTCCCTGGCTTCTCGGAAGGCTGCACGGCACTGCTGACGCTCGTAGAGGTCGTTATATATTGCGGCGTCACGGGCATCGCACTTAGGGTCAAGGGCACGGTCATGGTTACCCCCAATAACTACCTTGAATGTGTGGGGGAGAACGAGCAGTTCAGACAGGCGCTGCATGAGCTGTGCTGGACGGCCTTCGGAAAGATCACCGGCAACAATCAGGATGTCCCCATAGGGTATGTGTACCCCGGATAATGGGATCGTGTGTAGGTCGCTAATGGAAACGACAATAATTGGTTGGATAGTAGCAGGTAGGACCATCAGCGTTGGGTCTGGTGGAGCCATTGTTTCAATATAAGGGGTGGTTGTTAATTTGTTAATGATGTTCGTCGGAAGGGATGTTGATGGTGATGGAATTGGAGCGTCCAGCAGTAGTGTACTAACATATGAGAGAGGACAACGAACGAACAGGGTGGCCAAACAGACAAGGAACTAAGAATGTCTTGGCAAATGATGATTTCGAATTCTCTGCTGATTCATCGGGAGGTTTTGCGAGGGACGGTTGTCGCATGAACTGATCTCATCACTACATCAACGGAAGTAGCCTTACAAATTTCCAGCAGCCCTTGGTGGCTCTGCTTTGTGCAGTCTTAAGGACAGTTCATAACTAAGACCATTGTCCAGCGGGTTTGTTTATGGGCGTGTTTACTGTGGGTGAAATACTTGCCACCTGCACCACTTTCTCAACTGTACTTAGCGAAACTTCGCTGTTCTGACCTCGTTGCAACCACTCCTTGTTGATTTGCGTTTTTCAAGCCCAAGCACACCAATTTTAGTGCGCCTTTAGCTCAAAGCGAGGGTATTGCTGGGGTGCCCCTAGGAGAAATATCAAGATTTTACAAATGCATGAGGAGGTTCGGATGCAGAAGCATTCCGCCCTAGTTACATGAGTAGCCTATTTGAGGAAGCTTGGCAGGATAACCACTGAAGGGCCTGACGGTCTGATGACAACTACAGCCTGATGACGACCTGATAAGATATACTGAAAAAAGTAAGGATTTGCACTCGATAGAAGAACAAAAAAAAAAAACTCCACCAGGAAATAAAAAATTCAAAGTCTCGAATTTAGGAAAAGAAAAGTAGGAGAACTTGAAGAAAGGAAAATTATTCAGGGTCCACCTGACTACAATCATTCACTTCTGTTCAGTTCCATTCCGCACACTAGTTACCTTACCCTTCTTACCCTTCGGTATCATGGTAGTAATTTTGCATTGGGGGCCGGGGGTGGGGCAGTGATGAACGGTTCCATTCATGCTAAATAGGGCCTTAGGGAGCAGGTAATAGGAGTTGACTTGATATTTGCTCCTAGTCTTTCTTCCGTTTCCTGCGTTTTCGAATAGGTTGTCCTGCTTTTTTCTTATCTGCTTCATCTCGTTTCTCCCGTTCCTTCACTAAAACTGATCCCCGAACTACAAGATATCCTTTATTCTTTTGCTTTTTCAACTGCCTGTTATCTGCTTTTCGTTTATTCCGAAGGTATTGGATTTCACTGTGCAAGTGCTCTTCTCCAGCTCTTGCAAGCTGGGCCTCGGCTATACCATGCTCGGCACTGTGATACAATTTCTGAAGAAATGTAGATGTTTGTTGTACTTTTGGGGAGTTGGATTGGAGGTTTGACTTTGCCTTATGTCACAAACTGTGACTAAGCGAGGCAGATTTCACATAGCTCGGAATTCCAAGCTATAGGTATGTTAGGATTTTACATGACGCACATTAGTGCGCCATAGGTTATTATGTTTACCTGTTCGTGACTCACAGTTGTGAGTCACACGATGTTATGATTTTCGCACATGACTCAAATTATGAGTCATGGGTTTCACTCAGGTGACGCGAGTTGCGCACCTGACTTGGTTATTATGTTTTGATTGGTTAGGTATGTTGCGCAGCGACCCATAGGAGTCAGCTGAGGGATTTCGCATGACTCGTAGTTACGAGTCACAAGGTTCGCGTGATGCATAAGTATGAGTCACGCCAGGTGAAGAGCTACTATATAAAGGGTCACTAGGACCCCTAGTATTAGCTCTTCACACGTTCTTCTTGTTTATTTCCTACTTATAAGTTTTTATCAATAAAACCTACCTTTACGCTCTTTAACCTTTATATCACCTTAACGAGAAAACTATTTCTCGTCCCATGAACCGCGCCTGAGTCTTAATCAAGACTTAAGAAGATTGAGAGGGATAGGCGCGATAAGATAGAAGTCGAAAGGACTTGACTATCGATATCGCATAGGCATAGGCCTAAGAACTATTACCTCGTTTCAGATAAGAATCGTTACCTGTTGTATCACTCGCCCGACCGGTAGGATTCTTAACACCTTATTAAATAAGGAATTAAGAGAGCATGGGGTAGTAGGTGTTTTAGGAGAATAGAAGAGATCTGGGAGGTAGGAAGGTAGACTCGGAGGGCTATGACTGGGGGGTGGTGTTTGAAGAGGAGAAAGTCGTGGAGAATGAGGAGGTAATTGTGATGGTGTATGAGATGAGAACTGAGGCTGGCGGATGTGCTGTAGGCGTTGCTGTGGATTAAGAGGCCAGATACCAGTTTTGCTGAAGCCACTAAAAATATTTGAGGAAGTAAATAATGCCTGCTGGGCACGAGAGAAAAGGTTTGGAAATGTGTCCTTGTCTACAGTAGCTCGGATATAGTTTACTTCCTTTCCATATGCATTAGAAAGAGAAGAAAACACTGCTACATCCAAGGGCTACAAGACATGACTCGTATGCGGAGGGAGAGCGCATGGTAGGATTCGGTGTTGCCAGCAGTACTCAATTACCCGATAGTTGTAACCTGTTCATGCCGGGGCGCTAGTCACGCTGCTATATACAATAGGAGCAGAGCGTTCTCTGCTGGAGAGTAACAGTTTGGGCTCGCTAAGGGAGGCTTCGGTGGTGTACTAGGGAGAATAAAAATAACTGTTCAACCGAGTATATTAGAATACTGTCTGTCGAAGTCTGCCGTTTCCAGAGTGGAAAACGGCGGTCTTTTTAAGTACATGTGTTTGAGTACGATCATGAATTCTCACTCATGTTCTTACTCAATCAAAGTATAAAAATAACCAAGTATCAACCGATACTTAAAGCAAAACATAAAACAAACTAAGTATCAACTGATACTTAAAACACAACATAAAACAAACCAAACTTAACCGAGTACCAGCTCTGGTTACAATAGTCTAAATGACAGTCAAAGCCATCAAAGACCAATAACTTCCAGCGTCCCTGTGAAATCGGTACAGTCTCTGGCCCAAAGACTAATCGCAGGTAATCCTAGGTCAACCGAGAGTTCATATAACCATCCTCTTGCACACAATACCAATATTCCTTCTCTTTTTTTGTTTTCTGCCATCCTGCAAGCTGTTCTTTTCCTTTGAAAACAATCAAAGGAGTTACTATACTTGCAGCAGCAGAAATACCAGTAACAATAGTACAGCTTTCATGGTTACTGTACTCCTTGAATTGTGGGTCATGCCGGCCTTGACGACATATCCGTTTTCGCGTTTTTCCCTCTCCTAGTATGAAACCTTTCTCATCCATGTTCTATACACACTCCTCCTCAATCTCATACATCCTATAGATGTATTCTAGCTATTAAGAATTTTAGTATGAACTTTTTTTTTCTTTTCAAGTGCTATAAACTTACCTTTTGGAAAAAATTGACATTAATTTCCCAGCAGTCTGCATTTGCCTGGTCAGATGATATCGGCTGGGCAAAAACAAACTTGCACTCTTGCTTATGTCTTTGTAAGAACCGATGTATCCAATGTTGACCAATTCTAGTCTGCGTTGGATGCCACTGCTGTATTAAGCTAAGAGCAAGTTGCTCCAAGGTCTCTCGATCAGGTAGGATATTAAAATCATCTGTAAATAGTGCACGCTTAAGCAATTCACTCTCTTCTGCTTTGCTGAGCAATTGCTGATCGCTATGTAACTTGGAAAGCATTCTTCGGCTTGGATTCTTGATGTGACCACGGAGTGTTGGCTCCTTTATGGTATGGAGTCGAGCAAGTGCCACAACCTTGGGAGGTACTTTACGCTGAGCATTGTCGAACTCATGTTTCTGTTTATGATAATCAGCAAGGGGGATTCGGAGGCGCTCATCTGCTGAATAGTCATTGTCGGGATCAAAATTCAGTACCATTTTGCAAATTATTCATTGTGCAGTACCCCCTCCTATTCTACTGCGGTTGCATCCTACTTATTTCTGCTGCTTATCTTATCAAATCGTCATCAGACAGTTGTCGTCATCAGACCATCAGACCCTTTAGGGCTCTAAAGCTATGTAGTGCTCGGAATACCGTACGACCGTGCTGCTGAGAGTGGTTCTCGTGGTGGTATCATACAACAAATAGCCCGAGTGCTTGGTTATATTGTTACCCTGACGAAGCTTCCCAGTTCTTGTTAATTCCATGATTATTATGACAGAGGGTAGGCACGAAAATGGAGGAAGGGATAAATTTACATATGGTGCAATGCAGCTAGAGTATGCACCTGGCTCCATGCAACATGTAACACTCAACCCTCTAAGGATGATGTGAAAACCCCTAAAAAAAAAAACACCTATTTTAAAAATCATAAAATACTTTCCATTCATCTTTCTTCATATCTCCATATTTATATTTGCTTTTTTTGTCAAGGTCTCAACTATAAATTAGAGTCAGAAGGACTAATAAACAGGTTGGAATCCAATTTCCATTGTTCAATTCACTTTCTGTAAAGTTGACTATGCAATAGAGACTTGTTCACTGAAGGTGACATGATAGTAGGTTTGAATGGCTGGGTTCTGTCTATAGAAAAGTTTAATGGTTTTGACTTTCAGGTAGAAGGATAGGTACTACAGTCTGGAAGCCTGAGTACACTATTTATAACAGGAAATTAAACTTTAAATAATATAAGAAAATTATGGTATTGAACAAGTATGGTTCCGGAAGGCTAGCCTCCATATCAACTTTGTAACGAAAAAGTGTGACAATTTGCCACGCAATGCCAAGTGTAATGCTTACAAAGACAGAAGGAGAGCCACAATAGGTATCGAACCCTACTGTACCCTATTCCAAGGGTTTGTAATTTTAGTTGCAGATTTTCTATGTCTGCTACCCTATTTTATAATATAATATAAATTTAAATTAGAAACCATGATTATTGTCATCAATTTCCTTATTCCACTTTCCATATCATTATAGCAAACCTGGTAAGGTATTACTAATGGTTCATATTTGTAGTCAAATAAGACTAACTAATATAACATAATAGTTGATAAACCTTCGAAGTTTCAAAATCTATAACTTTCAGATCATCTTTGAGAAAAATATAGAAAGCACAGAATTCAAAGACCTGAACCGAAAAGCATGAGAATGAGCAGCAACCCACAAGCGGATTAGAAAGTTCTGTCCTTCAAAGAAAAGTACTACTACAACTCCAACCATAGTACTACTGTCCAATACCGAGAGATCTAGAAAATATCACTTGAAGAAGAAACAACTGGTTTCAGAAATGGTAGACCCGACAGCTATCACTGTGGCTAGTGAAAGCAATACTATTAAGTTATATCCTTCTCGTGAAAGAACAAGACGGTATCGTGAATGGCAGCATAATAGATATCAACAGTGGAAGCCAGTACTATTAAGTGGTGCAGAGCGACACCAGAGATGCTATGCTAAAAGGGTGCAAGCAAAATTGAGAGAAGAAACCAATTCCATTGAAGGAGAACAAGTAAGATCTACTGTAAGCTATTTTATTTGTTTTCGTATATAGACTAATGCAATAGATTTAGGAAAAGAAACTACAAAGCTTATTGTAGCTGGCCATGTCTGTCTGGTTCTTTGAAATTATTCAAGGTAGAGATTCTTGAGTCAGCACTTCAAAGAATCAGGAAAACAATCAAATCTGGAAGACAAACAAAGGCTTCAAGCAGTATGAATTTAGTTCTAGATTGGAATCTGCAACTCCATTCATTTATTAAGTTGCAACTGAAAGAGGAGAAACTATGGAAAGCAGCTGAGTTAACCAGAGGTGCTACGAATTCAATTACACAAAAAAGGTCATGGAAAGAACTGGCTTTGTTAGTAGCTAACTCTGGCAGTTGGGGAATTTGGGTAATGAGGAGAATCTTAAAGCAGGAGGTAGAATATATTCAAACAGGAAAGCTTCCTGCACCAAAGCAGGGGAAGCATATTAAAGTTACCAGTGGGCTAACTGATGAGGGAACAATACTTGCTATGAGGGAATATATGTTATAAGCAGGAGAAGGTACGATTTAAATATAATAAAATTTCATCAAAGATTAGCTAAAGAAAGATATCTAACATATATGATCAGCAATGGATTCAGCCAGACTTGCTCAGGCAATTACCAAATACTGGTCAGAAACATATCATGATGTCCTCTCCAAAGAGCAAAACCAATTACCCTTGATTTCTATAGCGGGAATCCATCAACGTATCAAGCAAACTCTGTCCACTCGTTCAGCCCAAGCTTGGCTACTGAAACTTGGTTGGAACAGGAGAGAGGTGAAGAAAGGTATATATAAAGATGGTCATGAGAAAGAAGATGTAAAACATTACTGGAATAATGTTTTTCTTCCAGCGATGCAGGCTTTGAAGACAAAGTTCAGGGAGTGGAATGAAAAGTTAGAAGTAATGCCGAAGGACTATGAATCTGGAGTTCGAGTGATTGTACCGATTGCACATGATGAGTGCACCTTTAATTCGAATGAAGGACGCAAAAAGGTTTGGATCTGTGAGGATCATGCACTAATACGAAAAAAGGATAATGGTCAAGGCCTCCATATCTCAGATTTTCTCACTCCAGTTGGACGACTTGGAAGTGGCAGCAGTTGTGAAATTCTCAAATGTGGTGGAGATGTAACGTGTTCGTACCGGGGTGCTAGTCACGCTTCCAGGTACAATAAGAGTAGCACACAAGTTGACCTACAACCTATGGGCGTACTGCGCTAAGGGAGGCCACGAGAGAAAGGTATAAAGAATAGGGACTTGAAAGGGTAACCATTCAACCAAGTATATTAGAAATACTCTGTCTGCCGAAGTCCGCTATTCCTCTAAGGGAATCAGCGGTCTTTAAATACAAACTTTGTCCATGTCCTGCATGGACGGATTTCCAAGTCCTTCTTCAATAAAACCATAAAACAACTGAGTATCAAAGGATACTTGAAACCACAAGTAAAACAAACTGAGTATCAAAGGATACTCGAAACCACAAATATAACAAGCTGAGTATCAAAGGATACTCGAAACCACAAGTAAAACAAACTGAGTATCAAAGGATACTCGAAACCACAAGTAAAACAAAACATAAAACAAATCCTAGAACCGAACGGACTGAACTCCAGTTCCGGTTACATTCCCTAAAACAAAACATCTGTTTCCCTAAACAAATCAATAATCCCTAAAATCAAAATCCTCATAAAGATTCTCTCTATAATCCTTATCAGCAAGCGCCCAATCTCCATCACCAATACAAAATACACATGTCCGAAATTGCAAAAAACAATTTCAACAAAGGAAATGAAAGTCACAGTAATCGCGGATACCTGCCGCTCTTTCCCATACTTCTGCTAGCAGGTCCTCGCAATTCGGGCAGTAATCAACCAAGAGGGTATCAAAATAGTTTTCAAGTAGGATAGCACCGCGGTCCACCAACAGTCCCACAAGCTGATGGCGTAGCCTCACATTTAGTTACTCATAGTTTTCCATCCTGAAGGTATTCGGATAGGGAGTGTGCCGTTAGATAAAAGTGTCTATAACATCGGCCATCATTTGGTCTTCGTCACTGCTGCTTTCAAACTCGTTTGCATCGTAGGACGCCCAGAATTCCGGTCTGGTAGGGGGGTCTTCACGTATTCGTTGTGTGGTAGGCAAGGTAGGTGACCAAGCTATTGTTATGTGGTTGATAGTAGGGTGTAGCTGCTCTCCGGGCATGTTAGTTTCCCACCACTCATGCACGAGGGTCATCGCATTCTCAATTCCTTCCACCGGTTCCCAGCTATTCTCCTAGTCAGGATAACCTTTCCATTTAACCAGGAACTGATCAGTTCGGTAGCGCTTTCTGTGGTCAAGTATCTCTTCCACTTCCGATTCTTCCTGATTGTGGATAAGTAGCGGGGCTGGCCAGGAGTGGCTGCGTCCCGGGAATCTGCTATCCTCATTTGGGTGCCATCTCTTAACTCTAGTTGAATGAACCACAGCCTTGCCACGCCTGTACATCCATCCTTCCAGTTTGATGGTGTAGTTCTCGGTATTGCTGTTGAATTCCAGTACTTTGAAAGGACCTCGCCAGCGGGGTTGGAGTTTCTTGCTTCTGCCGGTCTCAGGACTGAAAAGGTTTCCATGTACCATGACCATGGTACTGGGGGGTATGGCATAGTGGAATCTTCGTTTCTTTTGTGCTTTGGTTGTATTCCGGAATCGGGCAGTTCTTAGTGCCTGATAGGCATCGTTCCGTAGAGCTTTGTGTTGGTTGAGGTGGCTGTCAGAGGCTGGTACTGCAGAGTCCTTGAATATGGAGCGCGGCAAGAGGGGGTA